ATGCCGGATGATAAAACTGCATGAATATGCAAAGTACAGTTTAAAAAACAAAAAAAAATTATACATGCATAATTATGTGGTCATGACTCATGTTATACTCGTATATAGGTGGGTACAGGTAGTCTGCCCGACGTGCAGCGTATCATGATACACGTTATGTATTAATAAATTTATTTGTTCTCATTTGTTTGTTTAAAAAAAAAAAATGTTCAAAATCGTTGGGTGATTACTGATTAGTGATTTCGATGATTCGCCAGTCGCCGTGATCGTGTAACGGAAAAAAGAGTCTTCTACTAAATTACATTTTAATTCGATTTAAGATTCAGTTGTAGACTAGCTATAATTTAAAAATAGATTTATTAGGTAATGGTTGATGATTTGAATTTTTAAAACAATAATTTAAAAAAATAAATAATTTTCTAAAAGAGTAGACGAAAAAACAACGACTTATTCTATACGAATAAAGTATAATTACGACGTATTTCTAAGAATATTGTTTAGTTGACATTATGTAAAATAAATTCATTAGGAAACGTTATGATGGTGATATGTATATTTAGTACTAAGAATGACGAGTTTGTATAACGTTCGAGAGGTATTTTTATTGTACGGGATACTGCTTCAGAAATATTTTTAGAAAAAAGTTTGAATTGCCATTTGAAAGCGCGATCAACACGAACTATTACGGCGATGGCTCAGAAAAACGTCTTTTTTTGTAGATAATTGCTGGTGATAACTGGTGTTAAAGTCGACATGGGTAAGAAGTTTTCGAGTTTCACAGGGAATCAGGTTCCGAGGACAAATGCATCCCTCCGGGAAAAGTTTATGGTCCGTCGTTAAGTCAACATGAACTAAAACGCGCGCACACACATACACATACGTAGTTACCTACATAGGTATACGCGTTAATGTACCTACATGCGCGTCAACTGATAATAGCTAGTCGTAAAGTGACATAATACATCGTTTTATTGCGACTCTTATATTACACATACGGTAACTATAGCCAACGCACTGTTATAATAATATCATATAGGAGACATCTGCCTGCGCCGTTCGTAGGCTGGAGCAATATATAATTACACTTTTATCGATCGGTGAACACACGGCATATGTGTAGGGTAGTGATTATGTGAGTCGTGTGTACCAATATATACTGCTGACATTAAACGCTCGTGTAATACATAATAATACATAGTATTTGATTACGAAATTCGGATTCCGTTAAATTTTGTACCGACAGGATTTGTGTATTAATGCGTTGTTGACGGTTTCAATTAGCATTGATAAATATACCGTCACAATATAGATATATCAGCCATATAACTTTATATATAGTCTTATTATCGGAGTATCATTTTTAGTATGGCGACTGAGTACGATTTAAACATTTTTTCCAACGTTAATAATTTTTGTTGAATCGGTTGAGCAAAGTATGTCATATTGGTCTAATTTTATTTTTACACCGAAAATTATATGGATGAAAAATAAACGACGTTTTAAATTTCAAAAAACTCAATTTTCAGGAATGAATTTTTGTTGTTGATATAAAGTGTTTTATATTAAAAAAAAATACTTCTGAATTATTTGTCGTACATTTTTGTGATATACACTATACAGAATACAGGCATTGTATGATATGATTCATAGTGATCATAGCTTTGACGGAGTCGTAACGCTATCACTGTGTGGGATTCGGCGATAGCAACCGTAGTCTACGACCGTCGTCGGCCTTAAGCGGCGGGTTGTGCCTATCACGGTTGACGAATTGTTTTGAATTTTTCGCCGGAAGAGAAATGTTGAGAACGCTACATCATATTTTATTTCTATACTGGCAAAAGCGTGTACCAAAAAACGAGCGCATATCATAGTCGTCAACTATATTATAATAATACTCGTCCTTTTTTGTTCTGTCTACAACCAACCCCCTTGTCACGTCGTATCTCTTCGCATACATATCTCTCATTCTCGGTTCTCCGCTTCTCGCCCGCGTGGACTGTTCGAGCTTGCTGCAAATGAAAAGCGAACGAAAACGGACAAGTTCTCACTCTCCCTTATGCTTTTGACACGTCTATACAGAGAATACGGTACTCGTTGTAAATCCGTTTCTGCGGATTTCGTAATTTATTTTTAACGAGCTTTTTTTATGCGTTTTTTTCCTGCTCTTTCTTTTCTACATATAAGTTCCCGTTTGCTACTCGAGTGCTATTTTCCTCTATTCCACCGTCACTCTCTTTCAACTATCTCTCTATATACATATATATATTATAGATTTGGTAGGTAAAGTAGTATTTATATCTGCAATCTTGCGTTGTTAAAACGGCGTTGATATCTCGGTTAAATTGTGCGAAAAAAATATTGATTTATCAGCTTTCGTTTATGGCGTTTTAATGAGTAATGACTAATGAGTATTGCATCAATTAATACTTGTAATGGTGTGAAATTGGATGATATTATAATATTTTAATACATGCATAATATTTATTGATACATACACAGGGTTATTTAATTAAGCATGCTCAGTACTCACCACCATTTTTTTCTTTAGTAACAAATTTATTCAAATTCTGGAATTTTTAAATATACGAGTATTTAAAGACAATAATTTATAGTCTTAAGATTGATTTTACTATTCGTGGAGTGTTCCGTAGTGAAACAATTTTTTGTTTTTCAAATGACAATTTTTCTTTTTTACTGATAATTATTATTATTTGATGAATCATTTTTTTAAACAATTTCGATGTATCTAGTAGTTTTTCAGTTATAAAAATGTTTATAAGCATCTAAGGATAATAGTTCTAAAAATTCTTATTAAAAAAAACCGAAGTTTGAATCTTCAGAGAACACTCCTTAAGTGATACAAAGAATCTCAATAGTATTAAAATATGGTAGCAAGTAGGTATATATTTAAAAATTCTAAAAATCAGATTTTGAATAATTGTACTATTGACAAAAAAATGGGGTGAACATATTTGGTGAATCACACTGTATAATAATGTTGGCATTTCGAATATTAACGTAATTCCGCTTCTAATTAAAGTATATAAATATATAATTATAGAAGTAGTGTTTGTTACGTTGTTGAGTGTAGTTCGAAAAAGTGGTTCAAATTACCAAAAATTAGTCACGTTTATCTACTGTTTCTTAATATAAATTACGAATTTGAGTATTTGTTGAACTAAACTTATACATCACATTTTGAACCCACTGTTATCTGCATGAAAAATTCTGGGCTCTTATGGTATTTATGAAAGGTGAGTTGACGGATAGATTTTCGCCACCCTTAGGATATCTTTTTAACGTTGGCGTTTTTATAAATAATTTATTACCTTTGGGTGTATTGATAATTTATTGTTATCATAGTTTTCAAAAATTAGTAATAAGGAAATCAGTCCTTTTTAGGTGAACTATAAAATAACTTGTGACAACTACATGGTGCGGCTTAATTAAATATACATAGAGGTTGTAGGTATTAAAACGGGAGTACAAGAACAATAATTATAGATCGATGAAAAACCATGTCTATATTATTCCTTTAAAAAATTTTAATTTATTATTTTTCTTTTTTTTCTTTTGATGGTTATTTGAAAATAAAATAAAATAATTAAAAAATAAGTTTGTCAATAATTAAATGAATGTTGAATGTTTTTGTCTGTTGGTGGAAGCCCCGATATTTTGTGATGAAATACAATTTTTTAATCGTGTTTGATCTTCAGATACGCACTATCTTTTCGGCAGCATCGTCATCTGAACTGGATGTATGTTTTTATATTTTGTAATGTATTAAACATAACATTTTAAGAAACCGAATGGCTTGAGGCTTAAAATAAAAACCCATAATGTTTGTCTAATATCTTACTCATACATAATATCATAAAATATAATATTGTACAGTGATTTTTTACTATGAAAATGTTTTATGCTGTGCGTTTTTCTCATCTTTGATCGAATTATCTTCTTTGTCTAAGTTTTTAAACTGTTGTTATGGGAATTTTTCAGGTACATAAACAAAAGTTTCTACATGTTGTAAAAACAATTACTTACTAGAGATGCTGATCCGAATTACTCTTTTCGTGGTAAAAATGTAAGACCGTTATAAATTTGATAACAAATTAGTAAAAATTCTTCGTTTGTATATTGTTATCGTTATACGGTAATTCTTTTTTATGTCATTGTTTAATATTCTACAATTATATTATTTTCACCGTTTTACACATCATATTTGTTTTATTCATTTATATAATAAAATATGAAGAGGTATTCACCAATATTATAATATGATTTCCTTTCGAATAAATTCAAAATCTTCTACCAAAAGATTATGCAATTATTATAACAAAAGAACATTAATTCAATGGACCTTAATCTCGGTCTGATTTATTCGGTACAAAATGTATTAAAAGATACATTTAAATTTATTTTATATGCATTTATATCGTGTTAAAGTATAACCGGAGTGTAATGTGTAACTTAAATACTACCAGTGGTGTGTGGCGGATCAATATATTATATAGTTATATACATAATTCCAACAATAACCGTTTTGATGAATTATAAAAAATATGTCTCCTAACGATTACAGGTGTATTATTAATAATTGTTTACAATAATATATTATTATCTTTAACTACCTACGTATTACGCCGATAATGTTGATAAGACGTCGCATGTTTTTGTGGAAATACCTTTTTACTATATTATGTAAGAGCTTTTTGTAAGTATGGCAAACTTTTTTTGTTTTTTGTTACACTTAAAATAACAACTACTTAAATATTTTTATACTCGAACGTTTTAAATGTTTTATGGTTGAGAGCTGTGTGATGAAAATTCAATTATCTCTAACTCGAGAGATGCATAGTTCCCAAAAATATATTATAGTATAATCTTTTTAAATGGATATGATTATCTGTAGTATAAAAAATTTGACTGTAATTTTTGTATTTTTTTTTATATCATAAAATTATTTTTGTATTATAATATTTAAAAAATTATATTCTTACCTTCCAAACCGAAAAAAGCCTCTTCGTCAATACTCGATATTTGATTTCCGTCTAACTCCAACGAATTCAATAGAGGTAAATGTCGAAATACTTTGGCAGGTATGTGTTTGAGGTAATTGTGTGCTAGGATCAGCATATCTAATGTTTGTAAACCTTAAATAATAAAATATATAGAATTAATTTAAGCTAACTTAACGGTAGTTTAATTTTTTAGAAAAAATTTATTAGATATAACAACCACAGTTACGAGTTTTACTGAAAAACATGCTCAGTAAACCTGGAAAAAGTAAAAACAGCCACTATCATTACAGTCGTAAAATTTATTTATGATAATTATTTATTAAAATCCCAAGTTCTAATTATTAATAATGAACATTATTATTACTATTATTATTTATAATTTATCGAAAAACATTTTTAATGTAGACTTGAAGTATTATATTACATTTTAATTATTATTTGTTGTTTTTTTCATTTATAATGTATACATATTTTTTTTTTAAATGTTTTTTAAACTATAGTATCTCTGAACCATTTTAATAATGCTTTAGCGTAAAGTTAAAAACAATTAGTGGATCAGAATAAAAATGCAATACTTATTAAATAAAATATAATACATATATACGTATTTAAAAAAAAAAAATAAAAGTACTTTACATTAGTATAAATTTAGTAGCTCTCAAGCCTTGAGAAAAATAACATTGAAATTATTTTTAATAGAAAAATGAAACATATAAAAGAGACGGATGTCATATGACGAATGCTTTAATTTAACAAACGTAGTTTAATATGTGTCATGTATGTTATAAAGTAAATTATTTTCTTAGCTATTAATATTTAATCTATTTAACATTTTCATCTACTTGATAACTCAATAAAAGCTGTGTTTCATTCAAAAGTTTACAGTAAATTACGTATAATAATTTATGAGGAATTTGTGGATAGTGAAATTATTTTGTATTAAATTATGAACAAAAGTAATTATATATCATATAATTTGTACTCAAATGATACTAACAATTTTGGAGTCAAAAATATTGAATTATTAATAGTAATAATAATTACCTATGAAATCGCCTTCGCTGATCGACGTAATCTTGTTTTCTTGAATTTCCAATTTCTTTAAGTTATCCATTGTCTGTAGGGCTCCGGTCGGTACCCGGCTCAGTTCGTTACCACCAATGTTCAATCGTTTCAGTTTTCTGTGGATCGATTAAAATTATATAACCCAATAAAATACTACGAATACAATATTCTATGAAATTACTTCTCTGTGCCGGCAAACGCATTGGCCTCGATGTTGGTAAGCCTATTTTCGTACAATGTTAATATCTCCAGCGTGCTCATTCCCTCGAAAGCATTTGCGTGGATAGCGCTGATTTTGTTATGGTTCAAATTAAATATCAGCAATCGATCTAAGCTCTTCAACGCTGGAGTTGGTACGCTGCTTAACGAATTCTGAGACAGATCTAATTGGGTGAGAGCTTTTCCTTTATAGACATAAACAAACATTAATATAAATATATATAGGTTTATCAAGTAAGGCTAATATGAGAAAAAAAATGTAAGGAATTATCGTGGTACTAGATTTAAAATCTTATACACAGTTATGAACGTGATTATTTAAAAAAACAAGCTGAAAAACTACCCAACAGCTTTATTGAAGTAATAATAAATAGTATTATATAATTAAACGTCATTTTAAGTTAATAAAAAAAATAAAAACACCTCATCAATTAAAATATATTTTACTTTTGCGTTTTTTTAACGTTGGTTATTTGTTAATAATATTTACTTTAAAATAATACTTTTTATCTGTAATGTCAAGTCCAAGTCCAACAATCATACAAAGGGTGATCAACAAATATTGTAGTATTTAAACATATAAAATATAAAACTTTAAGAAAGTGACAATCTAATAATAAAAATATATGGCTTCGTTGGGAATATTTGTTACCTACAGATAAATTTAAATTATAGAAAATGTATATTTAAAATTTATATACGTATATATATGTATATTATATATAGTATAATAATATGTTAAAAATACAAAATTTTAATATGGTTATTATTTTTACTAGTATCAGAGTATTCAAAATAAAACAGGTAAAAAAGTGAGTATTACTCTGCTTTACCTACACTAGGTGTCGAGTAGGTTACTATTATGGGCGTATTAAATTAAAATTAAATGACATAATATGATTGTATACAAAAAACGATACTGAGCAAAAACGGTCAATCAGCACCTATCTATAATACCATTAAGTATATTTTGTGATATGGTTCTTTTTTTTTTTTTTTGATATAACTATTAAAGTTATTTATTTTACATTTAGTATTACGATACGATGATATAATTTTTTCTTGGATAATGTAGTATTAAATTATTATAACAATAATCATTTATATTATACGTATTATAAAAATTTAAATAATTCAAAATTGAATAACATCTTATTGTAAATATCGTAAAACATAGTAAACATAGATTTATAACATAAATAGATATTTTTTGATTTAAATCAAAAATGTCATTGTATATAGTAAAATGTATAATAATATATAATATACGTACAAGTTTTAAGTTTTCACGAATAATGTTTTTATGGTATAACAAAATAATAAATATCGTTATTTATCGTTTAAATTAGTAATTTTTTCCAAATTTTAACTTAAAATGTCTGTAAAAATAATTGCCTTATGTATATTTTTAAATTTTATGGTTTTAATATGAGCTATTTTTAAGACATTTTGTATTAAATTGCCAAAGTTTAGATATAAAAATAAAAGTTTCTATGAATCTTAAATTACAATGTAGTTTGTCATTTTTTGTAATTTTGATGGATTTTGTTAAGATTTTAAATTCAAATTTCAAAAGCATTTAAAAAAATTTGTTTATTGTATTTTTAGTATTTTTATACAAGAATAAAATTCGGAGGATCTTGTATTAAATTTTTAATCATTTTAACCTAGTGAATAATTTATTTATCGGAATTAGCATGCCAATAAATAACTTAAAATGAGTTGAAAAATGTTGAAAATCTTATATAATGCTATGAAAATGATAATTTAAAAATTTTGTGAAAACTTTAAGTATTTATGGTCATTCATTTTTGAATTACTTACTATAAAGAATAAAAATTGTTTGGAAGGGAATAATAATTATTATATGGGTGGATATCCAATGTTATAAAAATTTTAATTCTATTTACTTATAAAATTCAGCTTTCTAGGAAAATTTTTTTTTTATAAAGGTTGAAAAACCTATAAAGAGCCTGTATTAAATTTTAAAATCATAGGTAAAAACAGAACATTTTTTATGTATTTTTAACTACAAATAATCTTGTTTCTTTTTTAGTTTTTCACTAATTTTGTTAAAATACAAAATTTAAATACCTATAAAAAAATATTGTGACTATAAAATGTTAATGTTTTTTAATTGAGAAAAAACCACTTATTAGGAACTTTGTAATAGAGTTTTAAGCAATCTTACTTACTCATAATTTTTTTTTTTGCTACTTATAAAAATAAAAATAAAAACATTTAAATTGTATATAAATTGTTAAAAAGTCAAAATATTTTAAGAATTATACTGTATATACGGTATATAATATGTATATATATATATAAAATAACAATGTAAATACTTAGTGAAAATTATAATGATAAATTTTTTTTATTCAAAACCACCCTTAACGTTGAAAATTGAAGAATTTTATTTAAATCTTATCGTATACTTATATTAAGCAAGAAAAGATACATAATTTTCGCTAAGAATCTAAAATGCAATAATTATTTGAATAGAAAAAATTTAAAAAAAAATAAGCATAAAAAAGGCAAATTAACAATTTTTTTGTGTTTTAATATTTAAAAAGTAGGTACGTAGATACGTAATAAACGTGTTTTGAAATATTGTCAATCATCTTTAATCTGTTAGTTTTGAAAGTATTACTATTGTTGAGATTTTTATAGACGGTGCTAAAATAAGAAAAACGTTATTTAAAGTTTTTAACAGATTGAATATGTGAGATTATTTGAAAACGAAAGTGATGATGTTTAAAAACTCATAGATGTTTTCGACATTCTCGTGATATTTCCTATTTGATAGGTGTTCAACTAACCGAAACTATTCCCGAAATAGTTCGACAGAATGTAAAATCAGCTGTACAAGACCTACCTATACGGATTTTATTATACAGTAATAATAATATTGTTGATATACGAAAATCGATGAAATATATTACATAGGTTCATTTATTATTAACATTGAAATTTGCATGATAAACATTAATTCGTTTCACGATAATAATTTCATACTATATTATTATATTATGTTATGCGTGTGTGTGTTTTACGTTTGAGCGTTGACGATGACTTGTGCTTGACATTACGTATTGATTATAACATCTCCATGAGTTCCATGGTGTAAGCTTTTCAAGTACCGGGGAGGGGAGATTATAAGTTATAATGTAAACTCGGTTTTAAGTTTTAACTTACAAACAAAGAAAAAAAAGTATAAATGTTTATAAGTTGTCTTGTGTACAATTTAGAGTACGCATTCAATAAAATATAACATAATACAATGTTCAGAAAAACCGGAAGTATATTAATGTATTACTATGTTATACACACCAACAGTTTATTATTTATGTGCTTGGTTCCTGTTGTGGTACATACTTTGTACTAAAAATTGCGAAATTTTATAATGTGTATATAAAAAAAAAAAAAAAAATGAAATAGAATCGAACATGTATAGAAACCGGTTCAAGTTTCTACGTATGGAAATGAAAAAACGGGAGAGATAATACGATAGAGATTGGATATATCAAACCGGAATTGCTTTAATGACGCATAACAAATTTGTAAGATTATATTTACAAATCATGGTCCATAATATTGTTATAGACAACTAGATACCTCACGTAGAGCGAGGTAAGGAGAATATATTTTAAATATTGAAAGAGATTTTGGAGGATATAAAAATTAAAAAGGGATTGGCACTTTGAGGAGATAATTTTTGGGCAGTTGAAAATAAAATTGCTAATATCAGAAATCACGTGGTTGTTAGTGTGTAGATGGAAGTGCCCATACTACATTATGATATATTATTATTTTATCTGTACTTTTAATATAAATATTTTTTACGATGAAATGGTTTGCTTTTTCAAAAAATGACCGTGCGATAACCTTGCAATCATGCATTCTAATCATCGTCCATCCTAACGCCGTTTTGGACGACTTATCAGTGATTTACAACGTCATAAATTCATGCTCACCGATAGAGCTCAGTGACGACTCTTCGACCACGGCTAGGGTGCTGTTGTGTATAGTCAGATGCCGGATGTCCATGCCCAGGAACACGAAACCCTGCAACTTGGGCAGGTTGTTGTGCCGGAGTTTCAGGTAGAATATGACCAGCGAAGGTTTGCCTTTGAGTACAGCCATTGTCTTGGATATGTGCTGCAGATCGGTAAACTCGCACAGTATGTCCAGACCACCGTTTTTCTTCACCGTGCACACACACGGTGCAATTTCGCCGTGCGTGGGACATTGCTGAATGACCGGGCCGCTGGCGGACCATGCCGGGTCCACGGAGACGACCGACAACAGGCCGCAGAACACCAATACCGACGTGGGCACCATCGCTAGCCGGTGGTCGCCATACCTGTAACCACAAATCAGGTAACGTTACGTTAGTATAGTGAATGCAGCTTATAAAAGTTAATTATTATACTTATTTAGTTGTTTAGAATATGTTTAACACCCTAAGTAATATGACTTACTGTAATAAGGTCTTACAGTATAACATTGAAATAAATTTAAGATACAATAAAGATTTATAATAAATTTATTTGTAATTATAATGTAGCTGTTAAACGAGCGGATCTCAGTAGAGGAAATTGAGTTGGATACAAAGTGCCCAACCTTCCTACTAGTATGGTAGTATATAAAACGGTTAGTGGACAGTGGTTCTCAATATGTTTTTATTCACGACGATACCCTGAATAAAATCTAAATAAATCGTAAAATATTTATAACAATTAACGAATTTTTGAAAAATTAACATTTGTTTTACGTGTTACCGGTTTATTAGAAAATAAAAACAAAAATATAAATTAACTTAATCAAAAAATAAATAGTTCTAGGTATAGATATGTGAACCCGATGAAGGTTTTTAGTTTGTAGGCAATTGGTTAACAATTTACAACTAAGTATTGATTTCTTGAATCATTAAAATTTAAGTACTTAGGATAATAATTCATAACAAAAGGTTTAGAAGGTATCGACGTTAATTGAAAAATTAAAGTAATTAGTTTTATAATTAATTAGAATTTTATAATTTGTAAAAATCGTTAGAAAACTTATTATAACTATATTAAGTTAAAAGCTATTAATATTTATTAATTTATACTTTATTTATATCCATTATCAAGGGCATTGGTCTTAATAACCATTTTTACCATACAAATATTGAAAATGAAAATGAAGTAAAAATATTGTTAGCACGATTTAGTATGATTATACTATGTTGAGTAGTCTTAAATGTGCTTAATATTTTAAATTTTAAATGTATATTACCTTAATGTCAGTATTGAAATCATTGAATAAATAACAAAATATATATATTACTACTGCATTAGTTTTCAGGAAAATGCACTGTAAAATTGTGTTGTTATTCTGAGTTAATTATTTTTGAGGCAAACTTATTAGCTAAAAAATATATTATAGGATTTAAGTCCTAAATAGTATTCCTTGGTCACCTAATATAAAATACCTTGGTGTAATTTTGGACAGAAAACTAACTTGGAATCCACATATCACCTCCAAACTACAACAAGGCTAACAAAGGTTAAAATTTCTAACCTAAACCCATTGATCAACCGACAAACTGCTGGAAATGTTCTTTTATGTTATATAAGTAAATCGTATGACCGTTACTTCTATACGCAGCCCCTGTGTGGGGAAATTGTGCAAAAACCGACATACATAAAATACAAGTTTTCCAATCAAAAATTTTGAGAATAATTTCTAATGCTCTACGGTTTGTATGTAATGGCGCATTTCACAAAGACTTTCAGCTATCCACATTAACTGAGTACATAAAAAAAGTGGTAATTATCTTCTTAAACCACATCAATTCTGCTCACAGAGCAAAATATTATAGACTAAGTGACCCACCTCCTGTGCGCTGACTCAAGCGTGGACGCCCTTACGACTTGTTGTCATAACTATTATATGTCTTATATTTAATTTTCTTCTGATTTGTTAATATTTAAAAATTTAGTCGGTAGTATCTTGTATCATTAATATTTATTTTAACTATTACTAATTGTTATTTATTTTACAAATAATAAAAAAAAAAATATGTATTTGATTAACAATAAGTTAAGATGACATATGCCAGTAAAACTTTATTAAATAAAAAAATAAAAGTCCTCGATGATTGAGTCTGCGCTTACACCCATAAGTCGTTACTACTTTCAACGTGGATAAAAGAAGATTTTATGTTTTTATTTATTTTGAAGAATAAATCGTTTTCGATAATGCTATCAAGTTTTATACGAAAGCGTGTCATGTTGATACGAATTAAATGAAATTGTTTGATCTTTTAGTTTCATTGAAAACACGTTTATATACAAATTGAATTATCTATAATAATTTCTATCTTGTTTTTCCTTTAATAATGAATTTATTCAATTATGGTTTTTGGATAATTTCTAAATATATCAGGGCATGCATTTGGAAAAAAAAAAGTTGTAATACGTTATTTACAATTAAAATGTTTTACAAGTTTTGCGTTGATCGTTATTCAGAATTAAAACGTTATTCAACTTTTGCGTTAATTGTTATTGAGAATTAAATTTTTTAATATATTTTATACCTAATTAATAACTATTAAATGATTGGAAATTAATTATTTCTTTTAGTGATATATTATATACAACGTTTTGCGTTATGTTTTTTTTTATGATATATCATATATTTTGTTAACCGTTATGTTTTGTTTTGTGTTATTTAATTATTTATATTTATTGATTTTCGTTATAATTATGTTTACAAATTTTAATCAGTTTTTTCAAATAAAACGTTATAATTATAACGTTTGCAAGCTTTAGATATACTTATGGATCATATTTGGATTTTTTTTTTTATAATTCAAGTACGGTTCTGTGCATAATATATAAACTTGTTATTTCATATGTAAAACTTTCCTTTTTTACTGTAAATTTTCAAGCTGATATTTTTTTTTGATAATGGTATTGTATCTAAATTAAAATTTGAACAAGAAGTTTCTGAGTTATTACAATTTATATACGTATTAAGAAAAATAGTTTTATAAACTTATAAAATAAAATATGATATTTAATCTACTATTTATTATAATTGTACATTTTACGAATTATAAGATATTGAGGTTGATATGTATTATTAATCAATTTTTATGGATATAATATTATCCTTAGTATATAACTTTAAATAACTTCAAGACTACTTATTCAAATTTTGATTTAGATATAAAAACGTTTTAAAAAAAAGCCATATATCTTACTATTTACACGAAAAAAATGAACGATTCTCGTTTAATTAAAGATATAAATGGATATCGTCACGGGATACTCTTTACATAGTATAAAAATCTAAGCGTTTTAAAATGTTACGGTTTTTAGTATACTTTCAAATATTCATAGTTAGAATACATTTGTTATGAAAATGAAATTAATGAGGGTGCGAATGATCGTTGAACCACTCTGTATAACTCATAAATAAAAATAAACAATATTTAATTTAAAGTCAGCAGAATAGATACAGAATTACGTATAAAATGCCCGTAATGAAGGGATCTACTGTTGGATTTTTAATCCGTGTTGGTACGTGTCGGAACAATACTATTTTGTTACTAATAATATGACGTGTGTGTACCGTATTATAACCGGCTAAATGGTACGCGAAAAATGTTTGTTTTCCTCATACTTGGATTAGTAAACGCATGTAGTATACACAATGTTATAATAACTGTAGTCGTAACGTACTAATTATCTTGAACATGAAACCCCATTAAAATGTTTATCACAACATCTTTAAACGATTATATCGACATGTGTATTGTTGATCATAAGTTTTAGTTCGTAATTTGAAATGTAATACAGATTTTACTTGCGAAAAAAGTGTCTTAAAAGTTTTTATCACAGTAACTCCTCGATTATTGATATCTATAGAGTTATGTAGCTAAATTGTTTGTTAAACTATAATGTTCTGAGCTTTCTTATTGAACAGTTATAACAACAACAACAACAACAACAACAATATAATAATAATAATAATAGTGATAATAATGATAATAAATAATTTTTGACTTATCCAATTATAATAATTTACCAATGAAGGATGAATATCACATAATACAATGTTAAATAAACTAATTATTAATGTAGGTACTAACTAAATACATGAAGTATAGTAAATGATTTTTAAATAGTATTAAAAAAAATCAGATTTAAAAATATAATATTGCTATGTACTTGATAACCATAGTGATCATATCGATCTAAATTAGTAATTACCTATACGAGCATAGGCATATTACTACAAAACTAACGTTTTACAATATTCATGTATAAAGCACGTGTCAGATTTTTTTTTTTTAGTTCGATGACGTTTTGTTGTATATTTGTCAAATTAATTTAAGTTTATATAGATTTATAGTGACTTAAAAAAAATACTCAAAACTTTTGATCGAAACTTTTTGTAATTTATTGTCCCCATAACGGCTGTTTACGATTTGTAAAAAGGTGTACAGATCATTGTGTGATTCGCTACAAATACTTTTAAACATTGAGTTGACTTCGAGTTTAATAACTATAATAATATTTACGTTTTATGTTCATAAACAAATCTTTTTGGACTTTATGCTGTATACATATTTAATATATTTTAAGTTCAGTGAAGCGTTACAGTGATAAATATTTTTTGAAAATACGACACACATCATTGTAAATAATATTATCATAGGGTTTTATTGTTCATGTTTATAAGTATTAAATATATTATTGTGTAATTTATATTCAAAATAAATTGTGAAAATTTTAGTTTATAAGAAATTTTGTACCGTTTGCTATCTATCAAATATATAATATGATTATATAAGGGACCTCTGGCAATAAGTCCTGAAGAAGTTGAAAAACGACAATAACGAAACTTGTCTACTTTATGTGCAATATAAATTTTAAATATCTCACGATATACAAAAAATCTTTTAGGGGTGTCGAAGGAGATATTTTCTATTAATTAATTGTACTTTTGTAAGTCGTGTTATACGATTTAAAATTAAATACATTCTATTTCGTTTATACAAAGTGAGTTTTATTTCATGTCTTTGATTTAAAATAATGATACCTATATAATGTTTCTAAAAGGATAAATTGTTCATTCGAATGATATGATTTATTTTTAATATTTTCTTGCAGTGAGCTCTCAAATCCAATTGCATATTATCTTTTATTTTTATTATTCCGTATTGTACCACTGAGTTTTCTGACCCTTATGTACTATACAATTCCTTCGGGTTTTATACTGAATTGCACTATATAGTTAATAGAGTGTTTGCAATTTAAACTTTACACATTATGTTCTTGTTGTATCTTAGCTTAAAAATATGATTTTTTA